AAAACAACACTTCAATGGTCTTTCTTTTCCAATATCAGACGAACTTGCTTTAAAGCATGCCTTTATTACAAGTCTCACTTTCTAGAACTGTGGAAGATGAGTCAAGTAAAAATGATGTTCTTATTAATAATTATTTCTGTGAAATTTATGTTACCACTTTTGTAAGTTCTTGAAAGACGTGTCCTGGTCTGGAGAGATGCCTCTGCAGCTGACTGCTCTTCCAGAGGACCAGGGTTCAATTCCCAGCATCCACACGGCTGTTCACAACTCTGTGTAACTCTAGTTCCAGAGTATTTGACACCTTCACACCAGTGCACATAAAATAAATTTAATCAAATTAAAAACAAAGTGAAAGGAAGGGCATCCAAAATTGCTTCTACAATTTTAAGTCCTTCCATTAGGCAGCCCTCCTGATAAAGAAAAGCAGGGAGATGACATCTTTCTGTGCTCCTCTAATGCCATTTGTCCCTGTTCTAGTAAGATGCATGTAAAGTAGAAGATGTGGAGGAATGCCTGGCATTGAAGAATATCTTGAACTCTAGTGCCTGGGTTGTTCAGAGCATTAAAGTTGACTAATTAATGTCAATAACACCCTTGAAAAAGATAAAGGTTCATTTTAACGAGTAACAAAACTGCTGAGATCATTCCAGAGACATACTCTCTCTTTCACCTAGGGGTCACTTCTATGCTTAACAAAGTGATGTAAAATTAACTATTTTCATAAACAGATGGTCTTTAGGATAATGGCTTGTACTTTTTAATTTCCTTTTTGGCAGTACGTTAAGCCAAATGTCAGCGGTGTCAATAGTCTTCATTAGAAGTTGCCTGATATTGCTGGGATGCTTCCTACAGACATCCAGCTGTTTCTCGGCTCAGTGTTACACATTGTCAGTAGAGAAGTGTATGAAAGCACTGAAAGATAAAAATTTCGTATTCTAAATCAAGAGGAAGTGAGTCATATCAAATTCCCAGATTAAAAGTGGAAGGTTTCAAGTATTCATTATTTCTTTCCATCTTTCCTACATTCCTACCTTTAAATTGCTACGTAATCTTTTAAATACCCTCACCCTAAATATCTTTTGTTTCTAAACCTGATACTTAACAAGGGGTAAGGGATTCATCATTTCTAACATTTTCAATTCATAGAGTCCACATATGGCCTGTCTGAGCATAGCCAGATAGACTGTACATTGCTGAGTAACTAAACCTATAAGTCTCCAGAAATCCCACACATCTATTATGTTTACTTTAGGCTGTTGATGAGCCAGTTGGGCTCTGCAGAGAGGAAATTACAAGCACTCTAGAAGGTTTGGCAAGAAGATGCTGGAAGCAGCAAATGGTAGGAAGACAACTTTCTGATGCATCATATCCAGCTTTGGCTACCATTTACTTATTTGAGATTGCAACTAGTGAGATGGAAATTCCATTGAAATTAAATAAATTGTTTTCTGAAATCCCAGCCTGATTAGTAACAATGTTGTCTAATATTAAACATTTATGCTATACGCCATACAATTTATGGAACTGGAATTTAACACTATTACTTAGTTACATGTAGTTACCTTGAACTTTTATTCTTAGCCTGTGATCATTTCCCTGCTATTCTGTATGACCAGATAGATCTCCTATTACTCAATAGATGTTGGAAGGTATTGCAATAGTTGCTAACTTGTAAGGAAATGCCATTAGAAATATTTCATAGTCACATGTTAAACATCACTGGGAAATTGCTTATAGATACTGCCAAGGGAAAGACATATGTTTTAAAGCATATTCTGTACAGTGATAAAAGTTTGATAAGACAAAAAATATTCTCCTCAAAGTATGCCAGTGTAATCAAGGCAAAAGTAAAAATCCAAGTTCACAATGCCTGTTTTCTCTTCTCTGGTTGCTCAATGTGTCTTCTTATTTATTTATTTATTTATGCATTGTTTTTTTACTTTTTTTTTTTAACAAAATTGATTGGTTATTTTCATACAACACACATTGGAAATGGTATTTAAGAAAATGAAGCCAGGCATAGTGCTATGTACCAGCAGCTCCACTATTCCATTACTTGGAAGGCCGATACAGAAAGAATGAAAGTTCTGGGCCTGCCTGGGCACCATAGTGGGAATTTGCCATAAAACCAGTATTTGTAGAGTTTGAGATCCAGTCTTGTGGCAAGATTCTTAGCTATCATGTGTAGAGCCTTGGTTTCTAGCCTCAGACCCAATACTGGAAAAGGGGCATGAGTAGGGAAAGGTGAGAGAAAGAAAAATTCCTGTTCAGTAAAGGAATTGTATGCAGCACCTCTGGTGTCCTATGGCATCCCATTCGTTTTAAAGAGAACATGAGCAAGCTATACTATGCCGACCTACTAAGACTAATAACTCTTATAACTAAGGCTAATATTACTTATAAAAGTAATTTATAAGAATCAGATAGGAAAAAATATAACATAAATCGCTGGACAAACAGCATGAATAATTTCATCGGTGAATAACCTTAAAATGATGGAAATGTAAAAGTGACAATTCAAAGTCCAGAATGCTAACCATTACACAATTCAGCAAGTCTTATCAGAAAGGAAAATCACAAGCTAATGAGCCTTAACCATACTTCCCACCAATCAAAAAGCAAGCAGACATAAATTATTGGTCTCCATACATGTACTAATCACTTCCTGCACAGGTGCCTGCTATTAATAGCCTACAGAATCAGGTAAATCAAGGTCCTGTGCAAAATCAATC